GTGGGGGCCTAGCTCGCGGGCTTAAGGCAGGGCAGTCCGGGCTAGTAAAACCCAGGCCCGCCAAGGAGCGGGCTTTTTTGGCCTGCCAAGCATTGGCCCGGTCCTGCCCGCTAGCCCGTATTGACAGTTCTAAGTAGCACCCTCATAGGATAGTACCCAAGGATAGTTTTTGCAAACACAGAACTCTATTAATTGTCGTGATCCACGCTTCCTCTTGTTGTCACTTCTCTCTTGATGTGCTTCACTGCAATTTTAGTGCATTTGCTCAGTGCACTTGTCTTCCTTCCCCAAAAAGACAATGATAATAAGCATAGTCGTGCACCGTCAAAAACATAACCATCTTCTTTTTCCAAAAAAGACAATAATAATAGGCATAGTTTCTCATCTGTGTTAGTGTGCATGTCTTCCTTCCCTAAAAAGGCAATGATATAGACATAGTTGTGCACCTTCAGAAACAGTACCATCTTCTTTCCCCAAAAAGACAATGATAATAAGCATAGTTTCACATCAATTAAATATATACTGTAAATTAGGTACATTTTTTTAATATACACTTTCCTTATGAAAATCAATGAATAAGTTAAGAATAATAAATAGTTAACAGTATGCAGAGGTATTTAGGAAAAGTAAATGATATAATAGAGGGTAAAGTCAAAATAATATAACCAAATCAAAATAATATGAACCATTCATCTCAACAAACAATTACAACAACATTTTTTAGTTCCCGTTAAGGGCCTAACTTTATCGACTCTATTTTTTTGTTTCCGTTAAGGGTCTAACTTTATTTGCTATTATTAAGTTTGTAGATTGTAGGCATAGTACAATATGACATTGTGCATAATTCGGCATTAAGTTGCATATTGTTGCAAATATTGAAGTAAATTAGTCTAGATTATCCATATTTGACTGGCTCAAACCAAGAGAATAATTATTGAAACTTGTGATCTTATTGTTACAAGTGTACAATATGGCATTGTGCATAATCCGGCATTAACTGGGATTACCCCTGTTGCAACATATTTTGCTTCAAGAAAATGGGGTGTGCCTTCTTCTACTATTATCATATCTACAATTCTAATAAGAGCCAATAATGTTAGGCCCTTAACTGGAATAAAAAAAATGTCGGTACTACTTGTTTCTTAACACCAATAGTTCATAGTATTTTGATTTTAGTATTTTTAATGATTTTTCTTATTTACCCTTTATTATATTATTTTCTTTCCTTAAATAACCTTAAATTCCGTTAGTATAAACTTTATTAACGGAATATTCCGTTAACTATTTATTATTCCTAACTTACTCATTAATTTATAAGAAAGGTCTTAGGTTCGAACCTCATTCCAATTAGAGTTAGCATAATTGTTAAACATATACTACGAATATGTTAAAATGTATTAAAAATAAAATATAAAATTTAACATAAACTTTGGTCAAATAATTAGCCCGACTAAATACATAGCATTCAATGATTATAAATCAGGAACTTTGATAATCATTTGATTTTCTTTCATTAAAAAAAATAATAAATTTAAGTTCAGTTTTTTTTTTTTTTGTTTCGTTTAATTAATCTTCTTTTGATTATTGAAAACAAAACTTAATATTTCAATTATACTTTTATCAATGCATGAAAACTTCTAAAGAAATTTGTAAGTTAATTTTTATTATATTATTATAATAATATCTATTGTAACCTTATATTTTGAATTATTTATTATCATCATCTATTGATAGTAATTGGCATTGACAAACTCTCAAAACAATTTGTCTCAACAACGAATGGAAATTTAAAAAAAAAAAAAAAAAAAAAAAAAAAACAATGATTTCATTATTGTGGACGAAAAGTATGTACGCCACTTTATTCAATCGTTATGCTGTGGAACTGTGTCCACCTTGCAATGTGGACACAGTTATATGTTCATAATTACTGAACTATATGTTCATAATTATAAAGTATATACTCATAATTTTTGAACTTCATATTCATAATTATTGAACTCTATATTCACAATTACAGAACTCTATGTTCATAATTATAAAGTTATATATTCATAATTTTTTAACTTCACATTCACAATTTTTGAATTTCTATATATTCATAAGAGTAAATACCCAAAATGGTCCCTTGACTATAGCTAAATTCACAAATTGGTCCTCAACTTTCAATTTCACCTAATTAAGTCCTTAACTTTGTAATTTTAACACAATTTGGTCCTCTGTCTATTTGACCGTTTGTTGACTGTGATTTTTGAGGATATATATGTAATTTCATGGTCCATCGTCAGTTTTTTAAGGTTCCGGTTGCATTTCCAGACTGCACTATTACATTTGAATTCACTGTCGAAAGCAATCTACCAAACCCGGTTACCTTTCTTCATCCTCCCTTTGGATTCAATGTAGTTGAATTCGTACCAGAGCGAAGAAGACGACGTGTTTCCGAACCGGTGCAACGTCATCCTGGAGGCCTCCACGTGCTCCGACGAGAGCTGAAGGTTCTTCTGGAGATCGTCGATCACGGTCAACAAACGGTCAATTTGATGGAGGACCAAATCGTGTCAAAATTGCAAAGTTAAGGACTTAATTGAGTGAAATTGAAAGTTGAGGACCAATTTGTGAATTTAGCTATAGTCGAAGGACCATTTTGGTTATTTACTCTATTCATAATTATGTTCACAACTCTATGTTCATAATTATAGAACTATATGTTCATAATTTTTAAACTATATATTCATAATTATGAACGGTTTTGGAACCGTGTCCACCTTTGTCCACCTTGCAAGGCAGACACGGTTCCAAATCATAATTTTCCCACTTTATTGTTCTTATTACTTAAATTAAAAAAATAAATTAGTAGCTCCAACCAAAAATAATATATATGCATTTAATTAATTTAGAATTAGATGTCTCACAACACATGAAACATGTAGGGAAAACTACCACTACCAAATATCAACATGCGCTTGTAAGATAAAGAGTTCATAGCACAACTAAGATCTCAGTCATATACACAAGACAAATCTAAAACTTCATACACCATAATCTCATTGCATGATAAATCCCTCTATGATACTACCAATAAACCAATTGCACATGACACACTACCAATAAAAATAAAAATAAAAAAATAAAAAAGAAGAAGACATGTATTGAAGATGAAAACAATAACAATGCAACCTAAAAGAGAATTAGAAAATTTTAAACCAAAAATAATGTTTATTTAGACTATTGCTTTTAGACTTAGTACTTAGATTAACGTTATTACAAAGTTGCAAACATTTATTTTTGTGACATTTATATATAATCAATCTCTCATATATTATATTGCATTTATATACTCTAAATTACCGATTTAAATAAACAAATTCAACATTTATTTACCTATGCATGAACATCTTCTATATAATATTGCATTGATATACTTTGAAATACTTATTTAAAAATAAGTATTGGACATTATCCTATTCGCGCAAAGCGCGTAAAAAAACTAGTCAATAAATAAAAGTAAATTTCAATTTTTATTCTGTGACTATTGGGGTCTTGTTAATTGAATCCACGACTTTTAAAATTGTTAATTTAGTACCTTAACTATTCAATTTTGGTCACTCTAGTCAAGTTGCCGGTCAAATCTCACGAGAAATTTTTAATTAGTCAAATTATTCTTTAATCTAAGGGGCAATTTCGGCTTTAACCATCGTCCTCCTACATCTCCGTCAGCACTCCATCGTCAACCTACATCCTCCCTCCATTCTCGGCGACCTTCGTCGCAGTTCCAGCCACACCATCCATGTCGACAATGGTTTGAGTAGATCCTTCATCTCCTATCCTGAGCCTCGTCGACGACCATAGGAGAAACGGTAACAACAAGAAAGAAAATAAACAGCAGCAGCGGAGGTAACTAAGTGAGATGATAGTGACGACCTCCACCGTGAGCAGACTGGCGATGTTGAGCAGAAGTGAGCAGATCTACGTCGCAATGGTTCGAGTAGATCCTTATCTACGTCGCAATGGTTTGAGTAGATCCTTTATCTCCTATCTTGATCCTCGCCGGTGATCATCAAAGAAATGACGACAACGACGAAGAAAATAAACAGCAAACGTCCTCGATGTTTGTTTGAGTAGATCAACGTCCAACATGAGCAACAGACGTCGACCGTTTGATCTAAACTCAGGCAACGTTGACTTGAAGAAATAGTGGCGCCATGCCATGAGCATCTCTGGCAGTGACCTCCTTTTTCGACCACACTTACAAAAAAGAAACTGTCCCTTAAATTTAAGATTAATTGACTAATTAAAATTTTCTAGTGATATTTGACAGACAATTTGACCGGAGTGACCAAAATTAATAAAATTGAATAGTTAAGATATTAAATTAAAGACCAAGACTATGTGGTCTAATAGTACCCGGGTTGGACTTCCATTTGGAAGGTTGTGATTTCGAGTCTCAGTAGAGACGTTATTGGTTCTTTGTGTTTCAGTAGGTTGAGAAAGTATATGAGCAGATACTACAATGTAATTTACTAATAGCACATTTTTCCCCTGTGTGTTAAATAAGTGTTAGGGATGTTAAATATGAGGGTAAAAATGACATTTCACTTATTATTATTATTATTATTATTATTATTATTATTATTATTATTATTGAATTTGGTTTGCAATATAACTGTGCATTTTAGGCGTGGAGTACAACAGTATATTAGGGCGTTGGGTAATAATAATAATAATAATAATAATAAGTGAAATGTCATTTTTACCCTTATATTTAAGGGTCTTAACACTTACTTAACGGAGAGGGGAGAAAATAGTCACTTCAAAAACAATTGAAGGGGATAAAGTGGTTACATAAACAACACATGGGAAAAATATGCTATTAATAAACAACACAAGGAAAAAAAGTGTCATTTTCCCTAAATTAAAAGTTTTAAAAGTCCTAAATGGCAGGTAACAAGACCCGATAATCACAGGACAAAAATTGAAATTTACTCTAAAGGTAAATACTAAAGTAAAATGAAAGCGGTAAGTGTCGTATAACTCTATTTAAATTGTAAATCTCTCTTACAAACAAATAAAAGATACATTGAGTACAGTCAAGCCAGTATTCTAAACTGTCCTCCACAGGATAGGAGGCATGCCATTGGCCCTAAATTCCCTAATACTCTATCCCATTTTTCCACATTTTTTAATCTACTTTTCGATTTTCTCAGTAGTATGACCAAAGAGACTGTACATTTGGGGTGGAGTAGAGGCCACCAGCAAGGGATCTTGCCGGTGAGCTTCTAACAACGAGGATCTTGCTGGTGAGCTTCCAGCACCGCCTCCTTTTCCATGCAAGGCTGGGAGAGTCCACCCCTCGCTGAAAGAGAGAATAACCAAGAACACATTAGATATAACTATACAAGCATGTGCACATATACCACCAGCATAATTACTGCAGCAATGAAAGAAACAATCATAAGACTTTGCAACCATATTTTCATCGGCTTCTATACAACTGTATTAAAATAAAATTAAACTTGCACCATAATCTATAAATCATGGTACCTCAAATGAATGTAGCAGATGATATTCTCTTACGCAAAGAAAAGGGCAAGGTGATATCTTTCACCATATTCATGTGTTCCGGTTCTCTACATCATATATTTCATTATAAAACTCTTACGATGTTAGCCATCTCCAACACAATGGTATCAGAGGCTAACAAGATTCAATAAGCACGGCATGCTTCTCTAATTGCTAGACATAACAGTGTTAAGCTTCTTTGCTATGCACAACGTTGGAATAAAGTCATTATGGCTTCAATTTGAAAGGGAGTGGACAGGTTAAAGAAAAGAAACATAAAGGGAAATTGAAGGGATTAGGATTTAGGAAACTTTACTGCTTTGCTAGAAGTGTTAAGTGATTTCTGCAAGGGCCTCACTGTGATGAATACCCAGTGTTTTGAAACCTGGACCAGTTCAACCAGTGTCCAGTGGAGTTTCAGGTCAACTTCATATCATTAAGAAAAGTAGTTGATTGAAGCACTAATTTCTTGTGTTATAATATTAAAGAATAAAGATTAAAGATTGAAGATAAAATAGAGCACTAACTTTGATCTTTGGATACAATGACCAAACCTCACAGAGCTTGATTTTTTGACTAGAGTGTTTTCAGTTTTCACCAACTTAACAGTAATGGGCAGGTTTAACATCATCAAATCCTTGATGCCATTCACAAGTACAGATTTGAGAAACTGACAATCTTATCTCATGAATATTTAAAGGTAGTAACAGACACATAACAGGAATGAACAATGGGGGATTCGGGTGACTTCCCACTATGATAAGAATTCTTGGGATCATAGTAAAGAAACATGGCTTGAAAGTTCATTTATATGGCTTTTGATAGGCCAATCCTATAATGACTCTGCATATGAATTTATAAATTACAAGTGATTCTATATATATATATATATATATATATATATATATATATATATATATATATATATATATATATATATATATAGAATTAGGTTCTGGTTGCGGTTAGAGCGCTCAGGTGCGGTTGTGCGGTTTAATTTGGGCTATTCATCTCGCTTATATCAACGTCCAGGATTACCAAAATTTAAAAAAAAAAAAAAAAAAAAAAAAAAAACGCGGTGGCAATTTTGTAATTTTTGAATCTAGGTCAAAATTAATGTGAGCGGTTCTGTGATTAATGTGCGTGAGTTTTGTATATAAGATACGTGAGTCTTGTGCATAAGATGCGTGAGTTTTGTGCTTAATGTGCGTGGGGTTGTGCTTAATGTGAGTAGTTGATAAAACTTAAAGTGTGGGCTTTTGTGTTTAAGGCGCGTGAGATTTGTTCTTAATGTGAGTGGAGTTTGTGCTTAATTTGCGTAGGGTTTGTGCTTAATGTGTGTGAGGTTAGTGATTAATGTCAGTAATTGTTGAAACTTAAAGTCTGTGAGTTAATACTTAAAGTGCGTAGGTTTTGTGCTTAATGTGCGTGAGTTTGTGCTTAATGTCAGTAGTTGTTGAAACTTAAGGTGTGTGAGTTAATACTTAAATGTGTGGGTTTTGTGCTTAATGTGCATGAGGTTGTGCTTAATGTGCGTAGGTTTTGTACTTAATGTGCGTGAGTTTGTGCTTAAGATCTAACACTTAAAGGTGTGTGGCTTTCTTCTAGACACGCGTTTTTTTTTTTTAATTTTCATTGATTTGAGCCGTTGATCTAGATTTGATCAACGACTCAAATCTAACCGCACAACCGCACGAGAAGCTATACCCGCACATGAACCCTTCCTATATATATATATATATATATATATATATATATAGTTCAACAGTATGAATATCAAAGCACTGGAACATACTGTTAAAGAGACTCACTCAGACACTCAGTACTGCATATTACTGATTATTGACCTTGATTGCAAAATATTTGCTATATCTCATTCATGACCCAACAACTTCTACCCTAGGATTACATTTGTACTATCTAGTAATATGAAGAAACATAGGCAATTAATGGGACAATTCACAAGCTGGAATGCTCAATTGGCAGAGGCCAAAAGTCCAATCATGCTATAGATATTTACCCAACTCACCTTCAACTCCCTTCAAGTCATGCCTAACAAGCTCCTTATAGTTCTAAAAAGTGAGAATTTGTTCCAATGTTTCTACGTTAACCTAAATGATAAATTGATAATAACTGTCATTATATCCAATGATGCAGATTACTCCAAAATTTCCTGTTTTAAAAGTTGGCAATTAGATATCTAATTCTTTCCAACATTAGCATCCACAATCTAAAGGCAATGCTGCACACAAGGATCACTGTGTGAAAATAGCAGATACTTGTACATAGGCAAATTAAAAGGCTTTTAGTTTGTTTACTGAGTAGGTTGCATTTTGAAGCCCAGAGGTCACTCTAATACTCTATACAGTGGCTTCTATTTCAGTCAATGCTAATTATTATTCAATAAGAGTGAATATTCTTATTCTGTGTGGAGATCATCAGAAAGCAACAACTAATATGAATCAGAAAAGATTAATGTGGAGCGCAGTAAGAAATAGTAACCTAAAACATAAATGCAAGCAAAACATCATGACTCACTCATTTTGTATAAAAGACACAGGTGTGCTTACTTGGCTGAAGAATTAGCTGAATACAACTCTATTGGTTGGTTAGTATGACAAACACTGTGGCTTCCATATATCATGTCATTCTGCAGAACTTCCTCAGTAGGCTTAAGAGAATGCCAAGATTCACCTCCAGAGAACGTCCCAAATAAAGAGCTGGAAAACCTTTCATCCTTACTTCCAGGCATAGAAGTACCAAATGTGCTAAAACTCTGGCGACTTCCTGTAAAAGCAGTTAGAGATGGAGTACCAAGGACTTGATCATCTTTTTTAAAGAGTGAAGCCATAGTCTTCTGAGGTGCATAGTGCACAAGATCCTCTCTGTTCACTTTTGGATTCAAAATCCCACCAATTAAACCCAGACCATCCTGACCAAGTGGAGAGCTATTCCACATTTGCCATGTTCCGGCATCATTTGCAATTCTTAAAGCATCCGTCGGCACATTGGGCAAATCCTGAACCACAGAAGTATTTGGAGAAAGAAAAGAGCTACCATGCCTTTCCTCTGAAACTCGTAATGTCCTGCTCACTTCAGACGATGAGTTCATATTCCTAGTAGCAGGCATCTTTTCCGGTTCCATATCTGCCACATAGCCTCGGTCCAGCTGGAAGTTGTCAAGGGACTCAGAAACTGGCCCAAGCAAAGATACTGGATCTGGAACATAACAAGGATCTTCAAAAATCTCCGATTCCTCAGGCAGTAATGGAGATCGTGGTTCTCCATTCTGAGGAAGTAAGCCTTCTGATGATAATGGAAGAGATGCATTGCTATTTTTTGGTCCAAAAGAGAAAGAAGATAAGGTAAAAGGTGATGGGAGACCAAAATTAAAAGGATTGTAAAATGCTTGCACTGAAGGAGTGTTATTAGTACACTGAGCACTCTGAGCTTCAGTTTCAGGCTTCCCACCAGGTCTACTGATGACATTTGAATTAGAAGGTGGAGAAACAGCAGATGAGCGAGTAAATAACTGTTGCCATGATTTTTTAGGAGCTATAGATGGCTGAGCTTCAATAAACACCTGCAACAAAGAAAGTTAGCAAAAAAACACATAAATCCAAATCCATTGTCCATGGCAAAAACACATCTAAGAAGACATAAGTCACCATTGAATCATAGGAATCTTTTGTGAGATTAAGATTTAGATAGTAGGGTGAGAAAACTGTCCCTTTAAATTTCAGGTTAACTAAAAAAGGAAAAGAAACATGGCATCAGTTTAAATCACAGATCAAAACTGTAATATTTGTAGACTTCACATGTAACTCCACTGGCATGGCAAGGAGACCAAGTTTTCTAATGCAAATAAATCATTTAAACAATATAAAATTAAAAAAAAAAAAAATTAGTGAAAAATTTTTTGATCATAACTAGACAAAAAATGTGGCAAGATATGTAACAAACAAAGTAAACTAGAAAGATAAACAAGAAATGTTCTTACATGTCGATTGATGTTCGTATCATTTACATTTACAGTTGCTTTGCCAGACATGTAATCTAGTTGAGGCGATTCCCTCCTATGAGCAAATGTTTCAGTATGGTTGACAGACATATTAGATTTACGTTCTTTTAGAATACTAGAAGTATTAGTACTCTTCCCAAGAAAGCCACCTCCAGTAAATGCTCTAGAAGAAGAAAAGAAGGAACCCCTCATGCGGTCCAAATAATGATTTCCAGCATTTCCATGATTATGGTTGCTTGTGTTAGTACCCCTTAGACTATGTCCAGCGCCAGCGTTCTGTGCCTTAGCAAATTCAGGTCGTGTTCTGTGTAGTTCATGTTGATCAGTCTCACTCCGTCTGTTTGGCTCACATTCCTTACTTGGTCCTTTTTCCAATTCTTCAGCATCTGAATTGCTTTTGCTAGATCCTCGGCCTCTTTCTTTCTTCTTCTCTTGACGTTTTTTCCCAGATTTTTTACTACCCCGTTCCTTAACAGATGGCCCTTTCCCACGTTCTTTCTCACCCTCCATCCTATCATCACGCAATCTCCTGCGTTCTTCCACCAATCTAGCAACTTCCTCTCTTTGGATTCTTTCTTCTTCCTCCAATAGTTCTTTCTCTAATCTAGCCAGCCTCTTCTCCTCTGCTTTTCTTCGGGCTCTCTCCCCTTTACGCTCTTGAAAATTTTCTCCATTCTCACCTTTGTTATCCAGCATTCCTCTCTGTTCTGCATCTGTAGAAGTATCATCTCTGGAAGAACCAATCCTAAAAATCTTTCTGTAAAGCCACATGATACTCATGAAAAAAGCTGCAAATGCCTTGACAACAAAAAGCAAAACACGAGAACAATAATTTTCTGCTAAATAATGATCTTCCACAAAAAACCCAGTGCCTTTCTTGCCCCAGTCACTTGATCTCCCCTGGAAAGAACCCCCAACCCAATTTCTGTTCTCTAGCCAATCCTGCCCGTATATCCATCCACTATCAGACTGAACCTTTCCTTTCAATATCTTCCCACTTTTTCCTACCAAGTCATTCAAAATCCTAGAATTTGAAAGGTCAAATCCTTGAGGAACAGGTAAGTCCAAGACTGGTCTCTTAGAGATGTGCCCACAATATGAGCACATAAACTTCCCACCACCAGGATTCTGATCCCTGTATGGAGTGAAGCAATTTCTACATCTCTTTGTGGCTGTTTTCCTCAACTTCTGCATTTCAATCGCTTCAACCCTCTTCTTCTCCCTAAGCATAGCACTTCTCTTTGCCCGCCAAGCCGACAACCAAGGCATCAAAATCTCATACCAGAAAAGTGTCACCAAGAGTACAAAAACACAGGCCAGTCTCGGAGAAGTGATTTCAAATCTAAAAGCAGGCGGCAATGCCTGTGATAGTGCCCATAGACCAATCAATGGAATCACTAACCACGGCAACATAGCAGCAACCCTCCGAGACCATTTCTGAATCACACAAAGCATACACATTATCCCGTAACCAACCCTACAATCCCCCAACCCGAGTAATTAGAGAAATAAAAACCAATCAGAACCCAGCTGTAAATATCAGAAATTAGTTAAACCCCTATATTTATTATCTACAGCTCATGAAAACCTAACCCCCTGCAATCCCTTTCTCTTCCCGAGCAAAACCCTGCAATGCAACACCAAACATTCAATTCGTTCAAACCCTCACGAAAGCCTAACATTAACATCGGTACGACCAGCCTCCGAAAAGCGTTAGGGTTTCGGAGCTAAGAAACCAACAACAATGAATGAATATTTGAAACTTGAAAAGGAAAATGAAAAAATAAAAATAAGTAATCGAGTTCCTACTCACAGTTACATCTCCAATCACAAATTCATCGGCGGCGGCGGTCGGAACGGTGAGGTTCGTCGGTGAAATGAATGCTACACCGGTATACGACTATGGTAACACAGTAACAACGAAAAGAGTAAAAGGGAAATCTGCAAAAATACAATACTGCTTCCCAAATGTCTAGATACTTCATAGTTGACGGTTGAACCGGAGTCTTCAATTACGACCGGTTTATTGCTTATGGATAGGATCTAGTGGGGTGATTTCGTGTTCCCTACTCATTATTAATATTTACTACGTACTACGGATGGAGTCGTTTAATTTAGATTTAATTACCAAAATAGTCCATTAATTATAACAAAATAATCGATTTTGTTTTTGACTATTTTTTGACCAATTAAATCTCTTAATTTTAAAACGTTTAATCAATTTGGTCCTTCGTTTGTTTTGCCGTTAGACATCCGTTAACTTGGACGAAATTGGTAATTTTGCTAAAGTCAAGAGACCATTTCAATAATCATATGCACCATTTTCTCAGAAAAGTTAATCACTAAAATGGTTCCTTGACTATAACAAAATTATCAATTTAGTCCCGAATTAGTGGATGTCTAACGACAAAATAAACGGAGAATCAAATTGATTAAAATTTTTAAACTTGAGGAACTTAGTCAAAGAAAAAATAAAAATTAAAGATTAAATTAATAATTCTGCTATGTTCAAAGACCTTTCGATAATTAACTCTTTAATTTAATACTATCCTCGTACTACATTTTATATCTTACAATACAAGTTAATAATTACTTTATTTGTTCATCAATAAACTTAAAAGAAGAGAAACTTGTAGTTTATTTGAATAATACTAATTACTAATTAAATTATTTTTTATTGGTGATGTGGGAACGATGAGGTTTTCATTTCCATCTAATTTGGACACCTAGAACATTGAAGTCAGCTATTTCGTAATGATAAAATATGAAAATATAATCTAGTAAGAGATAATAAGAATACAATTTTTTAAGAGGGAGTTTTACCTTTGACTTTTATAAATTTTCAGTTTTTATTAGAGTCTCATTTTTATAAAATTATTTCACGGATTTTGACTTTATTTGGCAAACAGTGATTAGTGGTTAGCGTTAGCAGATTGTGCTAGCGGTTAGTAAATAGCGGATTGTATTAGCAGATTTGACTAGCGGATTATGTTAGCAGTTTATAAAAAGATATTTGATAAAATTAACTGTTTAGATTAACGATTAACATGTAAAATGACATAAAGAGTATACATATATTTAATACTTAATAATATATATATATATATATATATATATATATATATATATATATTATAATAATAATAATCATAATAATAATAATCATAATAATAATATAAAAAAATTTTAAAAAATAATAATAATAAAGGGGAACTGTGCGACTCCTCTTTTGTAAATTTTGCTCCCCCACTTATCTCACATCGGTGGGATAAGTGGGGGATGAAGCCTTGAGGCTCCTATATAGGAGCCTCAAGGCTCCATCTTTTTAGAATAGCTATGCCCATCCGCCTGCCCAGCGGATGGGCAGGCTCATTAGTTTTTTTTTTTTTTTAATTATGTTAAGGGTATTTTGGGGAAAAAATTATTTTTTGCAAACGCTAAGCAGCGTTTGTAAACTTGGCAGTTTGGAGCAATCCGCTGTTCCAAACTGCCATTAACCAAATAACTTTTTCGGCGTTTTGACCTTGGTCAAAATGCCGAAATGGCGGATCCGCCAAAATTTTGGTGGATCCGTCATTAACCAAACATGTCCTTTAATTCGTGAGTAGGTCGAATCTAGGATAGTTGTTTATTAGTTATGATAGAAATTATAATATTTATTATAAAAAAATTGATATCAATTTAAAATAAATAAATAAATTATTAATTATAAAAAAATATTGTAATATTTATATGTGAAATTGTGCTACTATTTAAGTAAATGATTGTTAATAATGATAAATATTATAGTACTTATACGTGAAATTGTTAGGAACATGTGTAGTTAGATTTTGATGATACTAAACTGACTAGGAATTTAAACCCCTCTTTTACTCTCGTTGTTTAGTTTCTTTCAATTAGAACGAAACTTTCTGTGAGTTGTTTCTGCTCACAATATAATTCGTGCTCAGTTGTGCTCTACACGAATCAGAGCAGCTTTCAGACAGTCAAGTCAAGGTGAAGATCAAGAGAAGGCCAAGAGATTTGTTTATACCGAAATTTGGAAGGGTCTATCTCTCCTGTAATTGACAAATGATAAAGAAAGATAATTTGAATTGTGAAGACAACGAATGATAAGGACAATCATTCGTTACCAGAACCCGAGACTATGAGTCAAAGTTTGACTCGATTGGACAACTCTTATATGTTTGCAGAAGCATAAAATGTCCAAGTCTTAGAGCTAGGAAAATCATCATAGACAAATGGTCTCCTATGAATGATATTTTTAAATCCCAATGAGCATTAAATGATTGGTACTTTTGTCAGTACTAAAAGACAAAAAGGTAGGTCACCTTTTTGCTACCAATGGCTATATGGTACAAGTCGCATTAAAGTCTCCTTACCCAGCGGATATTACACACTGGTTAATAGGTTTGAAATCGCATCTTCCTCCAACGGATGAATTTCTCACACCTATAAGTACCCCTCTTCATCACTTGAAGAAGGTGTTGGTCATCACTCTATTGCTAACAAAGCTTTCAAAACTGTCAAAGTTACAAGCTATGTACGACCAGTGTGTGTGTTTGTGAAGATTATTTTTAAAGACAATCTAGCTCTCAAAGTCTTCACAACATCAAGAAATCTTGCACAAGTTCATACGAAAATCAAGCTTCATCAAGTCAAGATTTCAAGTTGGAGAAACCATCAACCTTTTCCAACCACTCAACTCTATAAAAGTTGATAGAGGCGGAGTAAACTCGGAGGAGTTGAAAAACTTTATCAAGTTGCTGTCCGGCTTAGTGATCAAGGAAGCAAGCTTGACTTAGTTTGTATTAGGAGTGATAGTGCAAACACTTTCACGAGTTGTGGAAGAAGATTGGAGTAGGTTTCGTTAATAGGCGAACCACTATAAAAATCCCTCTCTCATTCATATTTACTTTACTGCTTTACATTGCATTCTTATCAAACCTAAGAAAACATTTTCAACATTAAAGTGTGCAAAGAAACTTAAAAATGATACACTATTTTTCTGCTATGCACTACTCTTTCAAGTAAAGTTTTAAAATTCGCGTATGAGTCTATTCACCCCCCCCCCCCCCCCCCCTCTAGACTCTTACACCTTCGGTATCGGGACCAAAAGAAATTATGATATTTACAAAGTGTAATTATTTGTAAATATTGTAATACTTATATGTGAAATGTTATTTATGAAAAAAAAAAATTATGGGTAAAGGTCAAATAAGTCATTCAACTTTTATTAAAAGTGCAATTAAGCCATTGAACTCTAAAAATCTCCAAATAAGCCATTGAATTTGAAAACTGATGCAATTTGACCCTTTTTACCCTCCTATAGTATATTAACAATAGGTTATAGCTGATTTAGAGGTAACCGTGGTTCTAGTTCCGAACTGAAAGTTCCCAATTTCAGAAAATGGTGAACCGACAGTTCCGATTTGAACCATTGATTCAAAATTTATTTATTTTATATAAATTTCAATTCTATTTTTAAAATAGTCTAAATTCAACAATTATTTTTTAAAATTTTGTCATTATGATTTATTTTTAAAAAATAGTTATATCAAATATTTAAATATTAAAATTAAATAATAAATAAATAAAATTTTGGGCTTGAACTTAATTTTATTAAGATACGTAGGAAACTTAATAAGACAAGATTTTTTGAGTAGTTAAACAATATTTTTGATATGCATAATGTTTCCCGGTTACATAGGCCGTAAAATACAAAGATAAATGTTATCAAATTGGGTAGAGCTTTATCACCAATAGATTACTTTGGGGAAAGATAGGCAGTCACAAGTGAAAACAATAGTGACTTGACCAGTATTATCAGTACTGAGAAAGAAGAAGCTACTGATGGTCAAAATTATAAATGTGATACTACTATGGAACCAATGTGTGTTAGTTTGTCTGTTGTTTATGTAACACCCCAATTTTCTAATCCTTTTTAATTAAGTACAAAGCTTAAATATCATAACTAATCCATCACATTAAATACTAAACATTAGACAAAAGGGATGTCACCGCCACAGTCACACACACGGTGACTGCACAGGCTAAAGGAACTAACAATCCAAAAATTTCTACATTGAGTTGACGTGGGGGAAAAGTACCCCGATGTCTATCACCAAACAAAAAGGCAAGAGTCTACAACCATAATCCAAAAGATCATGAAATAAACAAAGTTTAGACTACTAGATCAACTACACTAGTCTAACTCGAACAACTCCCAACGCTGGGCCCACCTGAAAGGGGTTTTGCAAAACAACAAGTAGACAAGTAGAAAACACCCGTTAGCACGAAACTAAGTATAACCACACTCAACCCTATAAACTACTACAATATATACTTTGGAAAAACATTTGATTCACATTTCCAAATTAAGCAATCTCAATCACTTAGACAAAACCTTAATATAAACCACAAAGCTTTCTATATGCTTACAACCTAAATTATCAAATAGACATACTTCAACGATATCAAACCTTTCATCATGCTCGTACTATTGAATACTTAACATAGCAACCTCAATCCTATATGACAACTCAATAACAATCTCATGTCAACACATAAGCTTAACAAACCATCTCATGCTATCAAATTCTCAACATGTAATTAAGTGCAATCAAGTATCCAACATATAGTCTATCGTAAGCATATCATTCAAACTTGTGTAATCAAATATCAGTATGCAATCTAGTGCAACCCTCCTCAATATGCAATCTTGTGCAAACATTCTCCAATGCAATAAGAAGCTATAGAATAAATATACATATACTCTCGTTTGTAAATAGAATACTTTTCTGTGGAGGTTTCTTAGAGCCACAAGGACTCGATTGCTCTTTCTTTCTTGGAGTCGCAATAACTCGCTTTCTTAGAGTCCCAATGACTCGCTTTCTTAACAAATGGATGAGGTAGGAACTTCACCGTAGTGTGAACGAACCTATCCGGGTACGGCCTCTAGTCGACCTATGCTCAATCTCATC